ACGAAGCGGTCACGGCAGTTACGAGGGGTATGGGACGGGGACAGAGATCCCTTTTACCTACGATCCAAAGAACCTTGCTGGTGGGTATAGCCCCATACAGACTGAAGACGAGGGGGACGACGAGGAGGATGTGCGAGAAGTCATAGAAATCAGCAGCGGGGATGAGAGGGATGAGATCTCAAGGCCTAGGGAAGAGGGGCGGCCTCCGATGCACCAACCAGGTGATGGGGCTTTCAGATGGGAGGACGAGTTCGGGCCAACGCCCATTCATTGGTTTCAACAATGGACCAATGTAATCAAGCACGAATGGATTATCAAGACTCGGAACTCGCAAGGGCAGGGATGGAAGCCACACCACTGGATTTTTTCAACGAGGCTGGGTTGCATAAAATTGTAAGGATGAAAAGAGAGATCGAGACCTACGGCCTGGGGCTTAGGAAGCCTGCCGAGGAACGGAGTGGACAAGGAACTAGGCGAGACGAGGCGCAAGGCAGTAATAGGAACTAGGTGTTGACTTAGCATTGAAAAGGATCGCTGCTTTCTGTCTGCAGAGATATGAGAATGACGAGAACGTGTATAATATGGACAAGCTTGCTAAGGAGGAAGTGAAAAGAGGGTCAGCTAAGGCTATGTCACGCTAAAGTAGAAGATAGTTGTTGAGGCTACCTTTGGATGAGCTACTTTGGGTACCTAAGACAAAGACATGAGATTTGGGATGAGACCAATTGGGAGAGGGCGTATTGTGAATTTTGGATGGAACAAGGATTATGCTTTTGAGAGGGGAAAATCTTGAGTACGGATTGACAAGCAAACCATGGCATTGAATGATTGGTCGAGTACAAGAGAGGTTAGGGAACCTATGGGTTACGGAGCGTGATAAACACTCCTTCCCTAGGAGCCTAATCCAACTGAGTCATGAATGAGACTGACAATAACCGAAACCTGAGAGATCAGGAAGAGTGAAAATGGAAGGGGCGCTTTTGTCTTTTGTTATGGATGAACGGCCGGGTGCTTGGGGTCGCGAGCCCCAACTCGAGTGCTAGACGCTAAGTCGGGTGTACAAAATGGATGGTACGTTACTGTGAGAAATGGAATGGATAGAACATTACTGTGAGAAGTGGAATGGATGGTACATTACTGTGAGAAATGGAATGGATGGTACATTACTGTGAGAAATGGAAGGAAGAGAACAGCACGCAAAAGATGAGATGGCCACCTTCTAACCTCAAAGACAGAAATGGGATCCGTAACCTCGAGGCCCACAACATTGAGAATGAAAATGAATGACCCTAACTAGGCTGTTCGACTTGAAAATGGAAAAGAATGACCCTAACCAGGCTGTTCGACTTGAGAATGGAAAAGAATGGCCCTAACCAGGCTGTTCGACTTGAGAATGGATAAGAACAACCCTAACCAGGTTGTTCGGAAATGGCCTGTGACAAGGGTCATTCCTTTTGAAATAGGCACTGGGGTCCCCTGCATATTGGATTGAGAAAGGTTGATTGAGAAAAGCTGATTGACAATGTGCTAGAATGAGAGAGATGGAAAAGGCCGATGGGTCGGTCATTGAAAATAGCCAAAGGATGAATGAGAGAGATGGAAAAGGCCGGTGGGTCGGTCATTGAAATAGCCAATGGGATGAATGAAAGAGATGGGAAAGGCCGGTGGGACGGTCATTGAAANTGGAAAAGGCCGGTGGGTCGGTCATTGAAATAGCCAATGGGATGAATGAAAGAGATGGGAAAGGCCGGTGGGACGGTCATTGAAATAGCCAATGGATGAGAGAAATGGAAAAGGTCGGTGGGTCGGTCATTGAAAATAGTCAAAGGATGGATGAAAGAGGTGGAAAAGGCCGGTGGGTCAGTCGTTGAAATAGCCAATGAGTTGAATGGAGGAAATGGAAAAGGCCGATGGGTCGGCCACTGAAAATTGCCAAGGGGGCGGAAGGAAAATGCGAAAGAGAAGGACAAGAGAAAGAAGGCGGAACCTTAAAAGTCGAGAAGGGCAGGGACCGTTGGGACGGTCACAGAAATTGGGTGTTGAGGAATGAGAAATTGAGGATTGAGTGGGCGGAAGGGTCAGTCTTGAGAAATGGCTATTGAGAAAATGACCGCCAGACCGGCCGTGACGGTGGCCTTGTTGATAAGAGGCTGTCAGACCAGCCATGAGAATCAGCCTTGGAAGTAGCATTGGATTGAATGATTGAGGATTGAATATTGCATTGCATAGGCAGGGGACCCTAGGCAACTTGAAATGGACTTGGAAATAACATTGAAATGAACTTTCTTTTTCTCTAGTCTTTGGCCTCAGCAGGAGGGGGATATCGGTGCTCGCACCGCGACCCCAAGACCTCTATCCCTGTAAGGGAAAAAGTCTTAGCGCGACCTGTTCCTCTTGTAAGGGGATGAGGGTTAAAGGACCAAGGCACCTACCACTTGGATCGGTGCAGGACGTCCGGAACTGACCCCGACAACGAGCTCTAGTCGGGAAGTTCAAATTGCATCTCATGTTGAACGCCTAAACGTCAAAGGGTGAGGGAACCAAATGGGCGAGAGATCCATTCTTTTTTTTTCTAGCCTCTTTTGTTCTCCCCAACCACACGCCTAGTCGTTGAGGGACGACATGACCGCTTGGAATGGACCACGGCGGCTCGCGTTAAGTTGAGCAGCACTGTCCAGAAGGGAGGAGTTGGGCGTGGTACCGGGTGGAAGCCACAACCACCACGGGGCGAGTGACACCGCCTCGCCGGAGCATTACAACCGCTTCGGGACTAATTGCGAGGTCTTCGTAACTGCACTCGTGGACTAATTGAGAGCCCCAACTCTCTTGAAAGGAAGAGTTCAGATTCAAAAAAATACCACTCGGGAGGAACGATTCGCGAGGAAGCCCTTACGGCAAGATGGGGTCCTGGAAGGCTTGGACTGGACCTGCCTTCCAGATATGAGGAGGTACCTCAGTAATGACGCCCGTCTCGTAAGCAGCAAAAGGTCGGACAGAGTAAGGGGATGAGGTGAGTTATCAGCAGGGGGAGAACTGATCCCCCTTCCTTTTTGGGGCTGATGGGCCGGCATCCACCTACTCGTTGGTGGGCCAAAGGTTGCGTACCTCTGAGTGAGAACTAGTCGTGCGATGGGGACATCGCATTTTGAGTGGGGGGAAGGTATGCCATCTACCAAAGAAAAAGCGTGCAAAAGAGAAGGATACCATGAGCGTAAGAATGGATGAGTAATCGACTTTGCGCAAAAAAAGTCTGGCAAGATGTCCAGAAGAAAAGAATGAATGAGTAATTAACGTTGCATGAGTTTGAGAAAAAGTCTGACAAGATGTCCAGAAGAGAAGAATGGATGAGTAATTGACTTTGCGCAGGCTTGAGAAAAGGTCTGGCAAGATGTCCAAAAGAGAAATGGGTGAGAAATTGACGTTGCATGAGCTTGAGAAAAGGTATGGCAAGCGACTTGTGTGATTGATTTGGCATAAGCTTGAAAATGGGCCAAGTAAAACGTCTGGAAAAGAAAAGACTCGTATGATGGACTATGTATGGATCTGAGAGAAAGACTGACAGGCTGGGAAACAGATGAGTATTTGGAAACAGGTCTGACAAGGTGTCTGAAAGAGAGATGCAGAGGAGATGAACAAGGCAACATGCATGAAAAAGTTAAAAATAAGCAAGGAACAAGAAAGGACAAAGGGTGATATGAATGCAAAATTGGCAGGACCTGAGGAAAGTTGGGCGAAAGGACCCGGGGGAGATGCATGTGGATTTGACAAGGCCTGAGCATCGGGGAACGGTAAAGGGAAAACATGGATTGCACGGGCCAAAAAGTAGATTATTTTTTTATGAGAATAATGAATGAGGCGAGGCCAAAATGGTTTCTGCTCGAGAATGCTTCCTCGATGAAATGGAAAGACAGATTTGAGATTACGAAGCACTTAAGGGGAGTTGTGCCTGGGCTCACCGATTCGAAGTGGGTATCACCATGGCAAAAACGACGGTTGTACAGGACGAACATCTCCGTTCTGGAACAAATGCCTCACATTGAGTCGCATCCAAACATGCCTACAATTTGTTATCAACAAAGTCAAGGCATAGAATGAGAAAATCAATTGTATTATGACAACAAATTGCCATCTGGGGAATAAAGCCATCATACCAGTAGTTAAGTGCATGAAGCAAGGAGAGCCCCGTCTGCCCCATGTTACTGAAGTTGAAAGAATTATGGGTTGCCCTGCTAGGTATACAAAATTGACTGAAGAGGTAGTTCGCATCTCAATTGAGGGAACGATAAAGAGACAGAGCTATGATGGAAATGAGCAACCTGGTCTAAGCTGTAGAACCTTCGACTCCCCCATACCCTCCTCCACCCCAAGGGGCGGAAGCTAAGGAAGACATTGAGAAAGGAATAATGGGAGAAGAACAAAACAGACCCTGACAAACTAACCACCCGTAACACCTCACCCTCCTCTCCCGTTTATCCCTCCAAAAC